GGCGCCGGGCGGGCATGGCCCTGGGCGTCCCCGGGGACCATGGGACCCCCTGGGCACCCCATTCCCTTCCCCAAAGGGCATCGTCACCCTGTGCAGGGACCTCCCTTGGCATGGGCATCTGAGCACCCCAGGGACCAGCCAGGCACCCCGGGGACCCCCCGGGCACCCCTAGGGATCCCTGGGCACTCCTGGAGACCTCTGGAAGCCTCTGGGGACCCCTTGGACACCCCCCAGCACCCCTGGGACTTCCTGGGCACACCTGGGGACACCTAGAGATCCCCGGAACCCCCTGCGGACCCCTGGGCACCTCCAGGACCCACTGGGGACCCCTGGGACACCCCCTGGGCACCCCTGGGATCTCCCGGACACCCCTGGGGACCTCTGGAGACTCCTGGGACACCCCCTGGGCACCCCCCGGGGACCCCTGGAGCCCCCCGGGTACCCCTAGAGACCCCCCTGAGGACCCCGGGACACCCCCCGACACCCCTGGAGCCTCCTGGAACTCCCTGGGGACCCCAGGGCTCCCCCTGGGCTCCCCATCGGGGACCTCGCGGGACGCCCCACGGGCCGGGGGTGCCGGGGGGCGCTGCTCACCGGGGCTGAGCGCCTGGCACCGCGACAGGATCTCCCAGAGCAGCAGCGCCAGCGCGTAGATGTCGGCCTGGCGCAGCGCCCGGCCCCACGCCCGCAGGTCCAGGCTCTCGTCCAGGATCTCGGGCGCCAGGTAGCGCTGGGTGCCCGCCTGGGTGCACCGCTCGGCTCGCACGGGCGCCGTGGGGCTCGCACGGGCGCCGTGGGGTTCACACGGGCGCCATGGGGCTCGCATGGGTGCCGTGGGGCTCACGTGGGTGCCATGGGGCTTGCACGGGGCCCCCAGCGTTTGCCCAGCTTGCATGGGCACTGTGGTGCTTGCAGGGGTGCCCCGGTGCTTGCACGGACATTGCCCGGCTTGCACGAGTATCCCAGGGCTCACACAAGCGCCCTGGGGCTTGCACAAGTGCCGTGGGGCTTGCACGGGCATTGCCCAGCTTGCACAAGCAGCAGGGAGTTTGCACAGGCACCATGGGGCTTGCACAAGGGCCCTGGTGCACACAAGGGTGTTTTCTGCCTTGCACAAGCACTGTGGTGGTTGCACGAGTGCTCTGTGTCTTGCATGGGCATTGCCCAGCTTGCACAAGTGCACAGCATTTGCACAAGTGCTTGGGGCTTGCACAGGCATTGCCCAGCTTGCACAAGTGCCCTGGTGCTTGCACAAGTGCTCGGTGTTTGCACGGGCATTGCCCAGCTTGCACAAATGCCCTGGTGCTTGCACAAGTGCTCGGTGTTTGCACAAGTGCTCGGTGTTTGCACGGGCATTGCTCAGCTTGCACAAGTGCTCGGTGTTTGCACAAGTGCTCGGTGTTTGCACGGGCATTGCTCAGCTTGTACAAGTGCCCTGGTGCTTGCACAAGTGCTCGGTGTTTGCACGGGCATTGCCCAGCTTGCACAAGTGCCCTGGAGCTTGCACAAGTGCTCGGTGTTTGCACGGGCATTGC